GGGTCAACCGGCCCAAGACGGTGCGCGACACGCTACTGGCCCTGCACCAGCACGGCCACTCCGGGTCCTTCGAGAGCAAGTTTAAGAAGGAGCCAGCCCTGACTGCAGGCAGGTTGTTGGGGTTCGAGGCCAACGGGTCTAAAGCAGGTAGGGGCGGCTGTGGAGCAAGTGGGGCTCGGGGGAGACGGGGACGCAGAGCCGAGGAGGGGTGCGCTTTGCATCCAGCGTTGTCCTAGCACCCCGGGCACCGCGAGCGCCCCACTTCCCGGTCGGCCTGAGGTGGAACCATAGCTTGGTGACAACGTGTGTGCTGAAGTAGCACAACAGAGATGAGTCACCGTGCCTGTGACACAGGCTTCTCCTCGCCTAGCATATTCTCGGTGGGGAGCACACTGCTCTCTTAACCTGTCCAAGGGCCTCAAGCATGGCGGGCTGCAGGCGGACATGATGATGCCCTGCACCTAGTGCATTGTGCCTCAAACCAGCCACGTGTTTATTCATACACACACGTTGTTTTCTGTGGCTTAGCTTCTCCCAATTCTGTAAGAGTCAGTGTTTTGACTTGCACGTGCGCTTGGAGCTCATGCCTGTTACCTACATGCTTTCAGGGAATGGAAGAGTTTGGCTCAGAGTTGTTCTAAAGGAGAGGTTCTTGCCATTGCCTGTTTCTTTATTTTCCTTTTTCTTTTTTCATTTGTTTTTCCAGTTGCAAGAACAGCAAGGAAGAGGAAGCCTTCTCCCGAACCAGAAGGTGAAGTGGGGCCCCCCAAGATCAATGGCGAGGCCCAGCCATGGCTGTCCACATCAGCAGAAGGGCTCAAGATACCCATGACTCCCACATCCGCGTTTGTGTCTCCGCCCCCGCCCACTGCCTCACCTCATTCCAACCGGACCACACCGCCAGAAGCGGCCCAGAACGGCCAGTCCCCCATGGCGGCCCTCATCCTGGTGGCAGACAATGCAGGGGGCAGCCACACCTCGAAAGATGCCAACCAGGTTCACTCCACCACCCGGAGGAATAGCAGCAGCCCACCCTCCCCATCCTCCATGAACCAAAGAAGGCTGGGTGCTAGAGAGGTGGGCGGCCAGGGCGCTGGCAGCACCGGGGGACTGGAGCCTGTGCACCCCGCCAGCCTTCCGGACTCGTCTCTGGCGGCCAGCGCCCCTCTTTGCTGCACCCTGTGCCACGAGCGCCTGGAAGACACCCACTTTGTGCAGTGCCCCTCCGTCCCTTCACACAAATTCTGCTTCCCTTGCTCCAGACAGAGCATCAAACAGCAGGGGGCCAGTGGGGAGGTCTACTGTCCTAGTGGAGAGAAGTGCCCTCTGGTGGGGTCCAACGTGCCCTGGGCTTTCATGCAGGGGGAGATAGCCACCATCCTGGCAGGAGACGTCAAAGTGAAGAAGGAGAGAGAATCGTGACTTTGTAGTTGGCAGAGAAGCCGGATGGTGACCCTTGAGAACTGCTTCAACTGTATATATGTTACCATATATATACATATATATATATATATATATATCTCCCCAAGACAAGGGAACTGTAGACTCATAAACATGCTGTATAATTTTGATCTTTTTGAGTACATTGTGTTTCTATATATTTTTTGTTTTTGTTTTTTGACGACGAAAGGTATGTACTTAAAAAGGCATTTTCTTCTTTTGTTAATGTTACGAGCAAATTTCTGCTTAGTTATGCTGGTGATCACTGCCCTTCACTGTAGCCTGTGACTTGGCTGCTTGATTTGAGCACTTGGCAAAATCAGAAATGCTTCTCGCGGTCTTCTGTATGCACTTATTTCAAAAAGGAAAGGAAAAAAGCCAAATACACTTTTCTGACGTTGTAAGATTGCCTTACTGTCTGTCTGTCCTGGGGCCTGCCTGACCTGGTGGCCCGCTGCTGGACAGGGGAAGAAGCTGAAGTGGGTTTGCCCCTGGGGGGCCAGCAGCTGACCCCAAGCCATGGGCCTCAGAGAGTGTAGGGATGTAGATTCCCAATCTGTTTTGTTCATCAAGTTGGGTTCTAGAGATGCGGGTCACTGTAGGAGAGGTGCTGTGGAGAGAATTTCAGGATTGTGGTTTTTTTCCTTTGCTCTTTTTCTTTTTTGAGGCAAAGTTGACCACTGTTCACCGACCATGTGATCAGCTGTCCGCTCACAATGCCGCATGCTGGTCGGTTACATAACACTGGGTCTCTGATGGTGGTGTGCTGCATGGCACTGCCATCACCGACCAGCGCCCGCCTCTGCAGGCGCCTCGTGGCTGTCCGCGCCTTGCTGGCGCTCTGCAGCTGCCTCAGCTACCGCTTTGCTTTTCAAAAAAGTGTCAAGAGAAGTTACAATGCAGTGAACCTGGAGACTGGGGTTCGTTTTGTGTCTGTTTTGAGTTTTTGTTTTGTTTTGTTTTACTCATCATCATATACCTGTAGTGCTATTGCTGTTGGTTGATACTATCACGCCAGTTCTAGTGAGTGTTGAGTACAGTGTGGTACATTGGCAGGAACAGCCAAGACCGCCTGTGGGCAAAGCATAGCAGTGCTGGCCCTGGTGTGGGCGGGGGAAACCTGTAACTTCCTTTTTACATGTGTTTCAGATACCAAGTGAATAATACTGTTCTTCTGGGGGGGGGGGCGGGAATGATTAGTGAAAAATAAAAGAGATGAAAGGATTCTACAGGCCAGGCAGGCCCCACCTCAGAAACTATTTTTAGAAACCTTTTGTAAACTAATTTCTGCTGATCACTATTTTGCATCAGTAAAGTTGATTTTTTTTTTTTAAATCAATAAATCATCAGTTACTAGAAATAGCTGCCTCCCAGTGATCTTGGGTTTTTTTCTCTTGTGCTGTTGTTACTTGACCACAGAGGAATCCTGGTTAATCCGTATGTTCAGGTGTATGTAACTTGGCCATCTGATTAGGCTGAAATGGGGCTTCAAGGTCTACTAGAGTTTGTGTGTGCTCGTCACAAACTAGCGTCTAATTTGGAAATAGAAATGGTTACCAATACTATTTTTCTTTTTTTTTTTAAGGGGTCGGGAAGGGTTATGTTTTTGTTTTTGTTTTTGTTTTTTAATTGTTTCAGGTGATGTTTTTTAATGGCCAGGTTATTAACTCTTGAAATTCAGATACTGCACCAAATAGAGTATTTTTCCCCCTCAGTGTTTTTTAATGGTTGCACCTGGTATCAGTGTTCTCAAAGTCTACCTGTTACCGGTCATTGTTCTACTACAAGTAGACTTGCATGATTAATCAATTTGTCATTTACTGAATTGGAGCATAGGTGTGACTCAGATTAGACTGGTCTCTTACATAAATACACACATACAGAAATGAAATGCCCATCACAACATTTGTAAAGAATTCAGCTCTTATGACCTGTTGTATAAACATGTATCCAGGCACTTTTTAAAAAACTGGAATTTGACCTCCTACATATTACAAGCTGATCAGTCACTTGACCTAATTTGTTTTAGCTATCTGTACCTTTTGCAATTTTGATACAGATAAGCTTTCCAAAAGAAGGGTTACTGAAGAACCATCCTACCAGGTGGGTGAGTCTGCCCCGCTGTGGACAGGACAGATTGGCGGTTCCCTCTGCTGACCTCGGGAGGAGAGTGAAAGGTTTCAGGGCCATGTATTGTGGTTTCTTCTCTTGGGAAAGGGCTGCACAGGTGGGCCTGGCCTGTGTGGCCCTCCTGGAAGACTTGCACCTGAAAGTGTTGGCCTGGGTTATTTTTCTGTCCTATGTCACTAACGTAGATTTACCGCTGGTGATGGTGAGCCACAGCTGGATGCAAACATAAGGAAGCGACTTACTGTAAATGAGTGGTATCAGATTGCAAATCCTAATATTTCAGCTGGGCTTTTAATACTCAGAATAGTAGGGGTGGAGTGTTCAAGCTTTCCCTTTATTTTGCTTTAACAGTTTCTAGAATATAACAGTACTGTCTTTATGTGGCCTCACATTACAACTTATGAGATCGTACACCTGGTTTACAACTTTTACTAGACAACTTTCCTTGGCCACCAAGTATTTTAAGAGTGCCACTTTTTTTTTTTAAGTCGAAGGTGATACTTTTTCTATATACAGTGATACTCATGTCATCTGAAGTGAGTGTAATCTCAGATATCAACATTATTAAATTCTGAAATCACTATGGAAATACCATATGCATTCTGTCGTTTGTCAGATTTACAGTTCCTTTATTTTTTTCTCTCAGCATTAAATAAAAATAAAATTGGGAGCACTGAACTTATCAGGCCTTTGATTTTTTTAAAAAAGCCAAGGATAAAATGAGCTGTTTTAATGCCTAATGACAACATGACGGAGGTTGTATGAGTTTGGGATTTTACTGGGACTGACAGTTGGAAGAGATGTCAGGGCCTGAGGAGAGGGCAGCTGGACACAGCCAAGACTTGTGCATTTCTCAGCTTGCAGTGGGGCTGGCTTCTCTGTGAGAAGAGATGGAGAGAAGATTGTGATGACCCAGAATCCTGGCAACATGAAACTGCCCACCTCCCACCCCCATGGAAAGCCACATCTTGTCATCGCAAATGCTCACAGGCAACAAGGCCATATGTAAGCTTGATTGTTGTCCTTAAGCCTAAATTTATAATTAGGTGAGAAGCTCAAGGATATGTTTTCAAACATGGATATGTTTTCAAACATCTGTCCTCAGGTAGTGAGAAATTTCCTAGATGTTGGTAGACCTCTTTATCAAATGAATGTCTTTTCAGCGTTCTCCATGAGATGAGCAAAGAATTTGAGGGTGGATATATATAGACTTACTAATGTTTTGAATAGTGGTGTTGATAGAATAACAGTTGATAGACACTTGAGTACATTGTCACTGAGGGTGGTCTGGGCAGCAGTGGTAGAACAGTTGAGTACGGAGTTGTACTGCTATCCCAAAGGCAAAGGTTCAAATCCACCAGCTGCTATGTACAAGAAAGACAAGCAATCCCCAGTGTGATTTACAGACTCTGAAACTCATTGGAGGGTCAGCTAGACGTTAGTTAAAATTTGACAGCAATGAGTGAGTGAATGAAGGGAAGGGTGGTCCAGTATCGTGAGCACCCATCACTGCGAGAAAAGTAAGTTTAAATATTAGCATGGTTGTTTATGTCTAGTAATTAAAAGTAAATTAAGTGACAAAATTACTGTCTTGAAACTTTAAAAATGCTAACTTGTTTTCAGTGAAATTTAAAATGCTGTAGCAAGCAGAAATTTAAAAAAAAAAAAAAAGGATCACCATCTCCTAGAGACAAATTCCAATGACTGTGTTTAGTTTTCCAGTCTGGATGTGATCGATGTCTTTGTTTATTCCCTAGAGGCAAACTGTGCAACTTCTTTTTTGTTTCTAGACAAGTCCTTCAGTACTCAGAAGTTGTTTTGCATATGTTTTATTTGGTTAGTGGAGAGTAAAAGCTTCTCTTCCTGATTCCTAAGTGTATACGTGGAACCATTCAGAAAAAAGTTGATCGCGTGTAGGCTACGAGACCTGAGTCACCCTCCTTGGCTTGCCTTTTGTTTATTGGGAGCAGGGTAAGATCCAGCTTCCTCTGTTGTAGACCAGCGAGCAACAGTGAATAGAACAAGTACGCATTGACCTATTTCACCTTCTGGGGGTCTGGACAGGAGGAGGGGCATTTAACTCCTTCAGTGCCACTGGTTAAATTACAGGCTGCAATAGTGTTATAGGAAAAGAAATGAAGTGAATTATCAGATTATCAGTGTTTTTATTCTGGTGGCAGCCTCTGTTTTCCTCGGTTATTAACCCCCATTTGTAACTGCCATCCTAAAAGGGGACAGTTTTGATCTGCCAACTGCTGTGAGGGAGAAAGATGAGCAGTCTCCACCTGTGTGATCTGTTCCAATTTGATGACACACCACAGCAGCTTTATAACTTGGGACCTCTGAACTGGAAGGTCAGTGGTTTGAATCCACCAGCTGCTCCAAAGGAAAAAAATGGGAAGTCTCCTCTTATAAAGATCAGCATCCTGGAGAGCCCAGGAACCAGCATGGAGACACCTCAGCGAGACTGGATTGACATGTAGCTTAGAAGGCACAGAAACACGCAAGTAAATCTGAAAATGACTCAGTAGTGGTCAGAAGATGGAAATGAATTGGATTTACCGATTATCTCTGGATTTCTCTATTTATCCACAGATAAATCCATAATCTGGACTAAACACCCTATCTCTACTTTCCACCAATTTTGACACATTGATTTTAACTCCATAGGCTGCCTCTGCTCCTTCATGCCACTTTAATTTAGATGCTTGACTCAAAATCATTTTCCTTTGCTGCATTAATTTTTGAAGTACAGTCCTCGTAAGTGAAACCTAGATTTGTGGAGTATTTTTGTCACAGAATTCTGCACTGCTGGCTGGTACCAAACAACACAGAACAATCCATACCAGTGG